CTTCCATCTCATCCTTCCAATTAATTCCTCTGTTTTTTGTAAATGTTTAACAAAATAATTCCGTTTGTTTGTTTGTGGAATGTTTTTCAGAGAAATCTTTACCTTTTACCATATTTTTTCCATATTTTTAAAGGAGTATTTTAAAATAAAGGTTTAGTAAATAATCAAAAGTTTAGTATTTTAAAGCTCGATCAAAAAGTAGAGCATAAATATAATTAGGGAGCCAATAATATGTGTGTTTCAAAAAATATATATTTGAAAAAAATTGAGTTAAAGTAAGGAAGGAAATTTGGAATAACGATTGAAATGAAAATAGTTTTAAAATTAATAAATAAAAAGTCTTTAGTATTTTAGTTATTATTTTAAAAATAAATTTGCGGAATATGTATTAACCCTAGTTTATGCGTGTCATAAAAGTATTTTTTTGGGAAAGGGATTTGTGCATATAAAAAAAAAAATATAATTATTTATTTAAAATATGATTATTCAAACCATGAATCTGATGACGAAGAAATAGATGGAGACAGCATAAGAGCTCTTACAATAATATAAAAAAAAAAATATTTTTTGGCGCTTGAAGATGGAAAATTAGAGCTTAAAACTTTAACTCAATTTAATTCAAATAATTATATTGTTAAAGTTTTTTCGTCATCATCAGATTCATGGTTTTGAAACATGAGACCTCTTATGTCGTGAGTTGGAATCATATTTTTAAATAAATAATTATATATATATATATATATATATATATATATATATATATAAAGGTAATAAATCCATTGGTGTATAATCCAAGAGGATCCTAGAAATATAAATTATTAAAACTAATCCACAAAAAGAACTCAATGCATTTATTATAACAGAGCCAATAAATAATATTACACAACAAAATCCAAAATTACCTCATACAGACGATAGATCTATTTCAACTGACAAAAACTTCATCAGTCTTATTCAACCCTGATGTATAAACTTAGTTCATGTTGGAATTAGAAATTTAACTGTGACAGCTGTTGAAAAATTAATACAGAATTTATCGATTTCAATGTTTCAGTCAGACGAAATGCACTAGACAGTGGTTTGGGGAGGGTAGAAGGTATTAGCCTTAAAGAGAAGAGGTTTTATAAAACTAAATCTGGATATTAACCTTATGACATTAAACTGGGGTTATATGCAGAAAGAAGTGTTAATTTGAAACTAAAAGAAGACTGAAAAGGGAGTAATAATATATATATATATATATATATATATATATATATATATATATTATTTTAAGACATTTTTATGTTTAACATTCTTTTTATAGATACAAATATTTAAGTAAATGCTCTGTTTATAATAAACAGTATTAAACAACATTTACTGGCATTTACTTTTCACAGAAAATATTCGTCCTCTGACAGGATTTGAACTTGTATCCTATATGGAACTGTCATTTAGCTTGACATGCCTTTACCGATTTGGCCAGGAAGGAGCAAGATCAAATTTACTGTATTTAAACTTCAATCTTCCAGGAATCTCTCACATACATTCATTCATGTCTGCTCATGGCATATCAAATGTAAACAAATGACGTCATACATTATGAAATGTACAAAGTCTGACAATTATTATAATTATTCGGACTTTGTCCACACACATACACACACATTATATATATATATATATATATATATATATATATATATATATATATATATATATATTTGTTGTTACTTTGTTCGTTTATTATCTGAACCAAGTCTGACATTTTTGTTGTGGGATAAATATACCAGGAAACATGTGTTTTCTAACCTAAAAGCTCAGCCAGCATACACCACCAACAGCAGTGAAACCACTAAATTACAAGGGGTTACTAGGTGTGGAAGCATTAGAAAACAGAAACCTTACTAAGGAACCAGAACAAAAGAAGAATAATCAAGAGGACAGTCAATAGTAATGAAATTGACATTTACTGATAGCAGAATTCAGTAACCATTTCTCAACTGTAAGCAAAAATAGTCAAAAAGGGTGATTAGATGATTAGCTACTATTCAATATGCCCCCACCTAAAGTAATTGTATTAAAAATAGGAAATACAATGAGCTCAACTGATTAAAGAACAATGTAGTTTTGTCTTGTTCTAAGACTAATTGTAGATGGCATGCTACTATTGGTATGTCGTACTACTACTACTATTGTACTATTCAACTACTATTGTACAATTCTACTATTATTGAATGGCTTTCTACCACTGAAGATGGCGTTCAGTGTTTGTAAGTGAGTTATAACACACTTCATTTTGACTTTTTTATTATTTCACTTCCATCAATAAAGCAAGGTGAGAAAACCACTAAAACACAAAGAATTACTGAATATGAAAGAATCTTAGAAAAACTATTATTAAGAGAGAATCCAATTAAAAAAAAAACAGGAATTTAAGAAACAGAAGATGATGATTGACATTGCTTTTAGATTTTTGAAGACCAAAGTTGACTGGAAACAGGCCAGACATCTAAGAGAAGAAGCACTTATCATAGAACTTATGGTTACATCTTTGCAATTTGAAACCTAAAGATGAAACCCGGCTGTCATTATAGTACTGCACTTAAATTTGTAAAGTCATTGTACTGAAGAGGAAAGCTCATTAGAACAATTACGATCAAAATATTTATAGAAAAGGCACAGGAAAGCCACATTATGCTGGTGGGAAAGTGGCTTGAAATGAGATGCCCAGTCAGGATTGATAACCTTGCAGATTCTTCTTTGAATTTATATCATGAGACCAGATGTGACAGCAATGTTCAGTGCATGCTTTGTTTTGTTTCTAAAATAGCAGTCTGAAGAATTTTACAGAGTTTCAAATATATATGCATTCTGTTGTCAGTATAAAAAAAAGAGCATTGATATGTTGTTCACTGATTGGATAGTCATATTTCCTTTTGATTTTTTCAAAGAACAGAATGCTAAAATTTTAATATTTTTGTGATCTGTTTGTATAGATTTTGTGCTCAACTAAAAACAGGCTTAATTCTGACACTATTAAAAATTTGATTAACTAAATATAATTTCAGACCAAATGGTCATTGTCATTTGAATTCTGGTGTATAAAATGATAAAATGTTTTGTAAAATGTGTTAAAACAAGATCTTGTCCAATAAAATGAGTAACAGCACTTCACCTGAAAAATGTTCATTGAGGAGAAATTTCAATAAATTTAAATAATGCCTAAAGGTTAAATCCACTTTGACAGGAAGGGAGACAACTGCGACTGCTTAGAACACATCCATTAAGCTTTATGTAGGAGTCTACTATCTTCAGAAATTTGTTAGCCAAGGATGAGGAGTTCAATCCTAGGTAGGACCACAAGAGTCAGCACAGTTATCAAGAAGGATACTCCCAAAGGAGTTGACACATGGCTGAGTGGTTGGAATGTTCACTTCTTGAGACCTGGATCCAAATCTCATCATCGTTGATTAATCAGGAAGGTGACTTCTTGGTATTATCAACCAGGAGAAGTGATGCCAGCATGTGGCACCTTTGGAAAGTACTTGAAAACCATACTATGTGAATTGAATTGGGTAGACTTGGTACAATTTGGGTGCCACCGATGGAAATATTTGGGTGCTGTCAATGGTTGCACAAGGTCACGAGATCTGGCCTTCTTCAGACTATTGCTCATGCCATGTATATGTGCTCTCTCCCAGAAACTGTAACTAAGGTCAGTTCATTATAGTTGTAGTATAAACTACAGGTGGGTTCTGTGGGAGTTGAACAAACACAAATGTGCCTGAGCAATCGTCTTCAAGAGGGATTGGCTACCTGTCCTAGTAGACAGGCATAATGACTATGAAATCTGGCTTGAAATCTCACCATGGTCAGCAAAGAGACTTCTTGATAGAATCAACCTGAGGAGACAATCCCAGTATTGGAAAGTGTTGGAAAACCGTACCACAGAGTAAAGTTCTGTGAGTGAACGTGTTTGAAAGCCATTGATAGTTATGTTAGTGTGAAGTCCCATCATCATGATTGGGGGTTTGTACATACCGGCCCTGTTTGATTACCAATTACTCCAGATTATGTTCTCTTTCTCCATGAAACTGTAACTAAAGTCTGCTCAGCATAGTTGCAGTATACGCCACAAGTAGGTGGTGAGAAAACATGAAGATACCTAAACTGGCATCTGCAAAAGGGATTATCTAGCCACGTTAGTGAACTCCATAGGCTCTCGTGATTGAGCATCATACAATTAATTGTGTAATAGAAAAAAAGTAATCAAGAAAAACATATTCCGAATAAATCAATCTTTGTTTAACAGAGATTGTCATTGATTCCATTAATATTTGTTCATAGAATGTTCTCATTATAATTCAAATAAAACTAAAAAAAGTCCCCAAACAACACTTGTTTGTTTGTTCAGTTGGTATTCATATCCGACAAAATATGTTTTTGAGAATTACTTTCATCTTTTCAATATAGACAATTTTACATCAATGAATTCATAGAATAAATCCATTTTTAAAAAAATGTTTTCAATTTTTATCGATAATATAAAAAAAAGAATGTATTTTGTATTCATGAAAATAAGCTGGCTGTAGTTTAACTGTGTATTCAACTAGTACATTTCTATTCATTACTGAGAGCTGAGCTGCCAAGAGAATCCTTCTTCAGAGTGGCACTTTATTTTCGTCTTATCTCTTGAATGTCATTCATTTATTTCCTGATTTCACACAGTTTCTGCTGTTCATATTTTGTCTTTTATAATCTGATTCCAGCAAACCCAATCTTTGCTAATTCACCAGAGAGATTTTTTCCCATGATTTCATTCTACCAGCTTTATAACCTTTATTAGATTCATCAGCCATTAAATCAAGTCTTCTCTGTTATTCTTTCTTTATTTATTTATTTCTTCTTTTCCATGCTTTTTTCTTCTTTTTTTTCTTCTTTCTTTTCCTTGCTTTATATTTTTATATTTCTTGCCATTCTTTATTTTTCTTTTTTCGCCCATTCTCATTTGTCAGACTTTATATCTTTTTTGTTCTTTCCTTCTCATTTGCTACTCTTTCTTTCTTTTGTTCTTTCCTTCTCATTTGCTACTCTTTCTTTCTTTTGTTCTTTCCTTCTCATTGCCACTATTTTTTTCTCAATGACACACTTCATTTTTTTTTCTTTTCTTTTCTTTCTTTCTTTCTTTTTTTCTCAATTTGCCACTTTTTTTCTTTTTCTTTCTTTCTTTCTTTCTTTCTTTCTTTCTTTCTTTCTCAATTGACACACTTTCCTTCTTTTTCTCTTTCTTTCTTTCTTTCTTTTTTTTTTTTTTGCTTTCCTTCTTTTCTTTTTCTTTTTTTATTTTTCTTTCTTTCTTTTTTTCTTTCTTTCTCAATTTCAGCCTTTATATCTTTCTTTCTCAATTGCCATTCTTTCTTTTTTTTTTCTTCCTTTCTTTTTTCTTTCTTTTTTTTATCAAAAAATTCTTTCTTTTCTCAGTTGCCAATTTTTCTCTTTTTTCTTTCTTTTTTTTTTCAACTGATGCTCTTTCTTTCTTTCTTTCTTTCTTTCTTTCTTTCTTTCTTTCTTTCTTTCTTTCTTTCTTTTACTAATGCCATTTGTAACTTTCTGCAATTTTAAATTTTCTCTCAAATATTCTAAATTTCCTTCATCAAATGCTTAGCTTATCATTCTTTTGTTAGATAAATTAGTTTAATTTTTCTATTTATTTTAATTTTTTAATTCATCAACATTTTTAACAAATGAGTCAATATTATATTCTCTTTCATAGTGATAAACATAAGTTGTAAAGGAAAAACAGAGATACAAAAAAAAAGCATAAAACATAACGGTAAAATTATATTAAGTGTTAATTTAAATAACATTGGAAAAACTGAACAAATTGATCTGACAACCCAGAATTTAGTTATTTATTCACTTTAATTATTTTGGTGCCAAACAAACAGAATTTCATTTTTGGAAGCATATAAAACCTTTTCTACCAGCAATCCAGTTCTGGCCCTGATGTCATACAAGACAGATGTCATTTATTTTTGACAATCCGAGTACATTATTTATTTTAACTACACAATCAGATATCATGATCATAACCAGGAACATTTAGAATTTGATGTTATCTAATTTTAACATAAACAGTTACATTTTTGGTAATAATTTATATCCTGGACTTATAGAATCTTAACTTAATGGCTAAAGCTCTAAGAGTCTAAGAGAAGGAAAATTCTTACAACCAATAGACAAGGCAATGGAAAACCATTCCACTATCTTATAAAAATTTCTATTTTTACTACTTTAACCTTTAACACACTGCATTATTCACTACTTTCCTTTCCGCTGCATTGTTTTTCAAGACTACTTAATTTCACTCATGGTCATTTTCTGTTACCGTAGACAACACAACTTCAAAATTCAAATATGTTATTGTTCATTCATCTGAATCACATGCAGTGGCAGGATAAAATTTTAGCTTTGCAAATAAAATCAGGAGGCATTGTGGAGTAATGACTTGGATTGAGGAATCGGAGAGCTGAGTTTGAATTCCAGTTGAATCAATTACATTCACTTATGTGCTAATACCCTTGAGAAAGGTACAAATCGTCTTCTTCCCCTCCCCTCTTCTATGAGTAAATAGCAGGACAGACTGGGTTCTGTAGCCTTGGATGGCAACTGGTCTACCGCAGAAAGAAATAGCAACCTACTGCAGGAAAAAATCTGCCTCGTCAGTCATGTATTGAAAGATACATGATCTCCTAAGCATGTATCACATATGGCACATGACTGAAATAAAATCACCTCCAGAATGGTGAAGGTTAAAATTGTTTGTCTTGAATAAATGTTTAATCGTCTAGATTGTTTTATTTTGATTCACGTTCTTTTGAGAGAAGTGTATTTTTAAGAAGGCCAGATGGTTTGTGTAAAAAATTGTTACACTTGTATATGTTTTTTGGCTCAGCAGTTAAAATCCGTCAAAATTTGTGAAGGGTCCATTTCTAGTTTATGGAAAATATTTTTTTTCCTATATACTGACCAATGAGAGACATGGTCTTAATCTCTTGTAAGAACCCAATTGCATGCCTTGTGAGCCTATTTGATGGAATAAATAGAACTTGTGGCAGTGGATGTAAAGGAAAGACATTTTGACAGCAAGGGGACAAGGCAAATGAACATCAAAGAACAGAAGACATTTGGCATCAAGAAGGCACAATGTTAACAGTCAGCTGCAAAGAGATAAAAGAATTTTGAAGTTCAAGTGTAAATTCTCCTGTGGTTGGATAACAAAGAACAAAAAGATTTCTAAGAAATTTTCCTCAGCATGAACTGTGTGAATTTAAAAGGGACTTTTCTAAAAATTACTATGTCCCAGAGATGCTCATGGGGCACGCAAAAGTAGGTGTTTTTCATTTTTTTTTTTTTCTGACGGGTGGTTGCACATTTGTTTTTCTGCTGTCTTCATTTGTTTTTTCTCTTTTCATCATTTTCAAAATCCTTGTCTTTTCCCAAACTGTCATTTTTTTCATTTTTCACTGGTAATCCTTTCTATTTGAAATTGTTATCCTGTCTTAATATGCACATAAAACGAAATTTTTGTGCAAAATTTGTATTTGTACATTTTTCGTATTTCTGTAATAGATGTTCTTCCTTTAAAATTTTATACAGTGGTTGAAGTCTTATTTTGTAATTTGTACCTATTATGAGTTGCTATTTTTACTAAGTTTTTGTGCTTGACACAAGAACTTAGATTTAGTAGGAAATAAAATTTTTATAATTCATAGCAGGGATAAAAATTATCTTGAACAGAAAACCAATATCATCTACCAAGTGTTTCAAGAAATAGAGCAAAAGTAAAAAAAACCTTTTGAAAACAGAAACTATGATCTGGAATTGGAATAAAACCAGGGTTAGCATGTATCATGAATCTATCATAAAAATTTAAATTGTAGAATTAATAAAGACTAAGAAATCTAGTATATACATCATAACAAATTTAGTATAGGAGGTAAGAGAACTGAAGATATAACTTAGGTCAAAAGTAGGGGGGCACCCAGTGAAGATCAAGCTCACTACTTAATCGTAATTGTTCTAGTGAGACAAGCTTACTGACCATTACACTGCCTCAAGTTGCCCCAAAGAACTGAAGATATAATAGGCTATGCTAAGTGCATTTTTGTTATAAAACAAGAATATTAACCAAAGAATTCTAGTCATATTCTTTTAAACAAAAGAGACACTGAGAACATTTTGTACACAAGCAACACCAATATTCTGTAATTCACATCAGAAAAAGAAAATACAAATTCTTGTTATTTATGTCAACATGTTTTTTATGTTTTTATTGTTGTTATCATTGTACATTTTATGCATTTTAATTTCTGTCATTAACATCAACATCATTGTCAGAGGCACTTGTCAGGCATGTAAAAGTAGGTGTTTTTCATTTTTTCTCGAAGATGATTGCACCTTTGTTTTACTCCTACCTTCTTGGATTGTTTTCTTTTTTGTCTTTTTCAAAATCCTTGTTTTTTTCCCAAATTGTCATTTTTTCCATTTTTTGATAGGAATCTTTTTATTAGAAATTCTTATCCTGCTTTAATAGGTGCACAAAAGAAAATTTTTGTATAAACTTTGTACATTTTTCATTATTGTGTAATAAATGTTTTCCTTTTAAAATTTTATGCAATGGTTGAGTCTCACTTGTAATTTAACACCTATTATATTTTGAAGTTCAAGTGTAATTTCTCCTGTGGTTGGATAACAAAGAACAAAATGAATTCTAAGAAATTTTCCTCAGCATGAACTGTGTGAATTTAAAAGGGACTTTTCTAAAAATTACTATGTCCCAGAGATGCTCATGGGGCATGCAAAAGTAGGTGTTTTTCATTTTTTTTTTTTCTGACGGGTGGTTGCACATTTGTTTTTCTGCTGTCTTCATTTGTTTTTTTCCCAAATTGTCATTTTTTCCATTTTTTGATAGGAATCTTTTTATTAGAAACTCTTATCCTGCTTTAATAGGTGCACAAAAGAAAATTTTTGTGCAAACTTTGTATTTGTACATTTTTCATATTTGTGTAATAAATATTTTCCTTTTAAAATTTTAGGCAATGGTTCAGTCTTATTTTGTGATTTGTGCCTGTTATGACTTGCTATTCCTACTAACCAGGTTGTTGTGCTTGACACAAGAACTTAGATTTGGTAGCAAAAAAAATTTTATAATCTTTCCCAAGAAGACATGACAATTCACAGATAATAAAGAAAAGAAATGTGTGAAGAATCATGATCACTTACATCCTGAAGGGTCAAGGTAGTTCACAGATAATAAAGAAAAGGAATGTGTGGAGAGCCATGATCATCTATATCCTGAAGGGACATGATTGTTGAAAAAAATTAGAGATTGTAAATGTGTTTGTTTTTATCTTTTACTGGATTTTAGCATTCACCTTCTATTTAGCGAAATGTTACATAATTAATGATACTATAAGTATAGACCAGGGTTGGCCAAACTCACTTAATGTACGAGCCACTTTCAATAAACTATAGGTGTTTGAGAGACGCAAGACATGAATAAAATTTATACATACATTTTTCTAACATACACATTAACATTAAACTTACAATTTAATCCAATGGGGTCCCAATTTTTACCCACTAAATAAGGAGGCATGGTGGAGTAATGGCTCGAATTGAGGAATCAGAGAGCTGAGTTCAAATTCCAGTCAAATCCATTACATTCACTTATATGCTAATACCCTTGGGAAAGGTGTGAATCCTCTTCTTCTCCCTCCAGCTATGGGTAAATAGCAGGACAGACCGGGTTCTATAGCATTGGATGGCAACTGGTCTATTGCAGAAAGAAATGGCAACCTACTGCGGAAAAAATCTGCCTCGTCAGTCATGTATTGAAAGATACATGATCGCCTAAGTGTGTATCACTCATGGTACATAACTGGCTGAAATAATTATAAAGCTTGAAATTTTTCTTATCTACCTTTTATATTAACCATAAAGGAAAAAATAGCTCAGCCAACATATTTCCTTGAGCTGTATATTAAATGTCAAAGAGTAGCATGTGGCTTGTAAGCCACAGTTAGGGCAAACCTGGCGTAGACCATATAAAATTCCCAAGCAGTAAGGATAGAGTAATAAAAAATGATAAAATATGAAGGAAGGTATATTTCATAATAACAATATTATGATGTTTGCAGAAAAGCTCTTGGCTCTGTGTAATTTTCATTTGTTTCAACTTATGACAGGGAAAAATAAGTGTACACTAGTGTTTCCAAAATGTGAAGTAATTAGGACTGTAGTGATATAGAGATGACTTCCTAGTTAGCATAGCTAAGGCATAGACCGTATAAATGACCAAGCAGTAAGGGTAGAGCAGCTCTTGGTATGCAAGATAAACATCTACTGCTAGACTAATAAAATACAAAGAAAAGCACATTTCATAACAAGTTCTGTAATGGTGGCCATTAAGAAGAAATGGAGATAAGATGTGGCTAAGATAAGCAAAAAGGTTTTTCTTTACCCATAATATACAAGATTGAATTGTTTGTTTATACCCGGGTATTGCATATCAGTCATGGGAGTGACAGTTTGTTCAGAGAATTATGCAAGGTAGTAGT